TAAGTGTGTGTGTGTGTAAGTCTGTATATAAGGGTGTGTAAGTGTGTAAGTGTGTGTGTGTACACACACATGCACATGTGACACATGTGGACATCACATACAGCATGTATACAGAGATAAAAGATCAATCTTGTCTGTCAGTTCTCCCTCAGCCTTGTTTTGAGACAAGGTCTCTCTCGTTGTTAACTGCTCCATACACTAGACTACCTGGCCCATGGGCTGCTAGGGTTCTCCTGTCTCTGCCTCCCATCTCTATGTAGGAGTGCTGGGATGACAGGCATGCAGTGCTACAATGCCAGCTTTATGTGGGTCCTGAAGATTGGAACTCAGGTTCTCATGCTTACAGAACAAGCATTTTACCCACTGAGCTGTCTCCCCAGACCCCTGTTAATATAGTTTTAATCTCCTATCTGTTTATGCTCTTTCATGTCTTACTAGAACCATAACATGTTCAGTACAGTTGTGCTCTAACTAGTAAGATTAACATGCTACTGTAAAGAAGATAAAATAACAAACCACTCTGCTTGTCTTGCTCCTTTCGTGGCAGTCAGTCGTCTTCCATCCCACATACGATGGTTATTCTTGGCTATCAACTCAACTACATCTGGAATTAACTAAAACCCAATGGCTAGGTACACCTGTGAGGGATTTTTTTTTCCTTAATTAAATCATTTGAAGTAGGAAGACCCATTTCTAATCTTTCCTACCTTTGAGGTGGGAAGATATATTTTTAATCTGGATCTTTTGATCTGAGCCATACCTTCTGGTGGCAGCTTACATAAAAGAAGTGGGAGAAGGATGCTTGTTCTCTCCCTGCTTGCTCTTGCTCTGGATAACAAATCTGTTCTTTCACTGGCATTAGAGCCTGTTTCTTTGTGATTCCAGCATATACTGAAGACCAGCTAAGACATCCAGCCTCATAGACTGAACAACTACTGGATTCTTGAACCTTCCATTGGTAGATAGTCATTGTTGGGCTGGCTGGACCACAGCCTATAAGCCATTATAGTAAATCCCCTAGATAGATAGATAGATAGATAGATAGATAGATAGATAGATAGATAGATAGATGGATGGATTCATACATACATACATACATACATACATACATACATACATACATGATAAATTGATTCTACGAGTTCTGTTTCTCTAGAGAACCCTAATATACCAGGGTACTTTTTTTTTTCTTTCGTTTTGACATAGGTTTGTTATGTACCCCAATCTAGTATGAAATTCACTATGTAGCCAAGGCTGGTCTCAGATTTATTAAGTAGCCCAGACCTAGTCTCAAGTGCATGATCTTCTTGCCTCAGCCTCCAGAGTGCTGGAATTACGGGTGTTTTCCACATCACTCAGTTACTACAAGGAAACACTAGAGACCAACTCCCCTGCTTACAGAGGAGAGAGCTTCCGTCTGCTCTAAAAGACTATGGGTATCTTCAGAGTTGTTTGTTTCCTTAAAGAAGCTTCTGAGAAATCAGCCGGGGTAACCAAGTCACTCTAACTCTTTCCTAAAGGTAGTGTAGAGTAGATGTGGCCTATCATGATGTTAAACTGCGCAAGCCCAGAGGTGATCATGTCCGCCATCTTTTCTTTGTGGGCACCTGACCTAGGACCTACATCGAGCATGCTCAGAAATGTTCATCTTAAACTGGGGAAATCCAAGCCTGTGCCTGCGTCTGCATGGAGTTTTCTGTCTAAATAAGGATAGGCTCCTCAAATAAGATCCTCGCGTGCCCATCTTTCTAAGAGAACAGTGCCTTGCAAACAATGCCAGCTTCTCCTTACTTGCAATGGGTATTTCTTTCTGCACTCTTTTATGGCTGGGTGGTACTTTTTGTCTCTGTAATTGCAAATGTGTTGTGAGCCTGTGACATTTGGTTACAAATCCTGCCTTAAATTAGTTGACTTTTCTCCCTCCTGGTGCCTTATCTCAGGTCATTGTTACTTCTTACCTGGGTCAGATCACAAAAACAAACAAACAAAAAAAAACTTTCTTTACTTGGTTACTAAGAAGCTATTTGTCTAGCATCTGTTATGGGTCTGACCTAGGCTTATCGCACTAAGAACACAGCAAAATCCTTGTTGTTCTAGAGGTTACCATATGTTAGCAGAGATAAGCCAGCAATCAATGGTTATAATGAGTTGTTAGATCTTACAGTACAGTAGTAGCACGCAAAAAGTATTGTGAAAAAGAAGTCAAGTCGAGAAAGAGAATCCAGAGGCAGAGAGGGAGCTGCATCGTCGGTCAAGAAGATAACATCTGAGCAATCAGATGACTGGGGAGAGGAGGAATGGGGAGTCCAGTCAAATAAGGCTGCAGAAAGGGAAAAGCCAAGCAACACTAAGTTAACTATACAAAGAATAACAAACCCTCCGTGATGGAGGAAGAGGACAGAAACAGATATGGTTGCTTTATAGCCTCTGAGGCTATAGGAGGAGATACTGTTGAGGTAGGTGGCAATGCCAAGCAGTAAGGAGAGGCACAAATCCACCTGCCACTAAAGAAACAAGAACTGCATATGTACCTATACTGTGCAAGGGAGTGGCATCAAATAGAGACCCTTCTTTATGGTGCCTTGCTAAGATGAGAGCACTGTTAACATTTACTTTTTGCCTTTACAAAGAGTAGCACTCAAGTGAAGTTGCTCTGACCCTCCCCGGGAAATTATGAAATAGGAAACAATTCTTACCTCTGTGCTGTCTTTTGAAGCCATGAAGACAACCAAGAAAACAAAGATAATTAACACCATCAGGAACAGTTTCCGAGCTGAGGCATTTGGAAGCGAACAGAGCAGTATCCTAGGGGTGAGGATAGGAGAAGTCATCGACGGGTAAAGAAAAATGACCCGGCTCCTCTGAGAGCCTCGCTTGCTCCTTTGTTGTCTCAGAGTGGGATCTCCTGGGATTTTGCCAAGTTGTTATTGAAAATCAGATAGAGAGATTTCCTTGAGGCAGGGAGCAAAGCAAGTTGAGAGACTGCAGGTTTCTGACTCAGGAGAGATTTCCGGGGCTGTGCCAGAACAGACCTGGAAGCTTGTCTCGTATTCAGGGCTTTGGGTGGACAGTCAGGTCAAGTCATTTGCAAAGAGAATCTCCTCCCCTGAATTTCTCCCAAGGTCCTGCTCATCTGATGAGTGTCTCCCTGGTACAGTAATCAATCTCTCATTTTTTTATTCCATTTATAAAGCAGCTTCCTTCCACCTCAGGTTATATCTTTTTATGTCACAATAGTTGATCAACAATTTCTCCCAAAGAGCAGTAGTTTCAGAAAAAGCCGACTGTTGAGTGGCCAAAGTTTGCATCTTACTTTTTTTTTTTAATTCAGAATCTCAAAAAAAGCAAAGAACTAAATTCCAACAGTGTTCCTCAAAAGTGTTTTACAAGAGTCACAGGCTCAACATGTCTCCACATACATACACATATTACTCATATAGTCGGCATAAGTCAACACTTATCCTTACTACATATGAAGCAATAATTTTTCCTGCCTATTCTACATGGTCCCATCCCATTCTTTCCAACTTTAGGGTATTTTCAAACCCATATCACATAACTTTGCAATCCCCTGAAGCAAAGCCCCAGCAAGTCTGTAGTCTTTCCACTGGCCCCCATAGTGAAGCCAATCGGGAAGAGCAGAAAGTACATACCTGTGGCTAAGCATCCTTCTCATGGTCTCATGCTCTCCTACAGCACTTAGAGCTACCTAGAGAGGCTCCTCGGTGCCCGGGCCCTTTACATTTCTTTCAGTGTTGGAGTTTCTATATAAAGCTTCAAAGATCAAAAGCTGACCTTCGATTTGTAGGCACGGTGCCATCACAGAGATCGCCAACCTCAGTAACCTATTCCTGTTCACCACGAGTTGGGAGGAAGCTCTGGAGTTTGCTTTTACAGAGGTCGTGATGGGCAGGGCAGGGCAGGGCAGGGACTAGCTTTTCTTCACTTCCAGCCAGACTTTCTATGCTTATAATTGATAGTGCTCCCTCCCATGCCACCCCACCCCACCTGTTGCTTATGATAGTGCTCCCCACTCCACCCTCTCCTCAGGTTTTGTCCAACCATCCAGTCAGTCTGTAGTCCCTACCTCTAAGACAGTTTTGCTGTATCTGAAGCATTTGGACAAAGACAAAGTAAGTCCCGGACCACAGGACTGCCTCAGAGTAATGAGCCTCACCTTCTATAGATGCTTCAAACATCCCAACAATTCCAATAAAATCTGAGGCCGCAAGCAGAGCATCCACAGATCCCAATCCCACCATAACCTGTATGATGTAAGTGAGGACTGCAGAGGGCAGAGGTGACAGGACCCCAAGGACGCTTAGCAGCCACAAAGAGCTACCTGTCAAGGACATTCTACCACCACAGGACATGGGACCAAATGTGGACACAGCTTTTGCTCCTCAAGAGGGTAATCCATATCTAAATCTCTTTGTATAAAGATAGATCTAGATACAGTTATGTACACACATGCATGTATTGAACATATATGTATAGATATAAATGTATATAGCACTTCTTCATGCCAGTTCTTCTAGGCATGTATTCATCAGTGGCTATGGTCACAGCACACTGAAAACATGCATAGAGGTTCAGATGATAATTTGGGGAAATGAAGAAAAGCTATCAAGCCTGTCAATCTTCCCCACCCACGTTCTCATCCATCATCGTGTGTTGTATGAAGTATGAGAACTACAGCCATACACCACATTACACCATTCTAGTCAACTTTCAATGGTGGTATCATAAGACTGTATCATCTGGTGAGGCTGTGCCTGTCTTACTGTGTATAAGTACATACTATGATGTTCACACAAGCACCTATGTGATTTTCATAGCTTAGCTTTCTTGACTGCGGTGAACATGAGAAGAGAAATATCTCCTAGGTGTAATGCCTGTAATACCTTTGCATGCTGAATCGCTGGGTCGTAAGGTAGTTGCTCTTTGTTTTTTGAGGAACTGCTTTCCTACCAGCACGTGAATAGAAGTTTCCTCCTTCCTGTCCTTCTTACAAAAGCCTTTGTAACACAGGGCCATATCTCTTCATCAGTTGTTTGACATTATTTCTTTCCTAATCTTTGGCACAATTCATCGATGAAGTCATTTAGTTCTAGACTTTTCTTGGCTGACATTTTTTTTTTTAGATGTTTTCCCTGGGCATGAGCATTTTGCATGCATGTCTATGCTCCATATGTATACAGTGCCCACAGATGTCCGTGCTCCATATGTA